CCTTGTTCTTCCACTGACTGACAAGGGGAGTTAAGACAGAGCAAACAGCAAGGAACAAGAGCCTCAGACAAGAGTCAGTGCAGATTTCTTGGCTTTGTAAGAAAGCGTCAGAAAGTGTTCCTGCGCCAGTAGGGAACTGCATTGGATAGACATAGAGAAGTAAGATGCAAGCATATTGAAGGTGGGTGAAGGGGCAGGGCAGCCCCTTGTGCAAGCCAACTGTCTAACAACAAGGGCTGGATAAAGCAATGATCGTGCAGCCTAACAAGGGATTTCCGTGTAGCCATTGAAAATGGTATTATAGAACTGTACTGATGAGCATGGAAAGATGTTTATGATACATTCAGGGAAAAAAGCACGTTATAAAATAGTCCATACATCATCAGGAGGGGCCAATCACTGGAGAAGAGTATCATGCTTGGTAAAGTAGAGGGTCAGCAAAAAAGAGGAAGACGGTCAATGAGATGGACTGACACAGTGGCTGGAACAATGGGCCCAAACATGGCAATGATTGTGAGGATGGCGCAGGACTGGGCAGCATTTCATTCATTTGTACATGAGGTCACCATGAGTCAAAGCCAACTTGACAGCACCTAACAAAGACATACTATATGATCCCATTTATTCAGAAAATGTGTGTATGTAAAGAACAGACCTCGAAAGATTATCAGCGGTTACCAACGAGGGATGGGATTATAAATAATTTAAACATCTATTTTTCTGCATTTTCTGCAACATGTATAATTTTGTCAACAGGAGTTCAATATGCAGATATTAGTGTAATACATGGAGAGAAAACCACCCCTGCATGGAATAGTGCATTAAACCAGTTTGTCTAGAGTATGCAGATATTCCACTCACTGCAACATGGCCTGAATCCAACTGAGCCTAAGGAGCCCTGCACTTTGGCCTCTGGGGTGTTAGTTTCACCCAATAAGGTCCTGCCCATCCCAGCTTCCTTCTTCTCCCCACCTCCCAAAACTGCTGAAGTCCCCACATCCATTGTTCCTGAGACCACCCAAGTTGGGACACAAACCCTCTGTCCAGCTCAGCTTCTTCTCCCATTATGCCAAACCCCAGCCTACCCCCAAAGATGTACCTTTGTGCCTTCTCTCCTTTGCATGTGCTGTTTCCCTTGCCAGAGGGGCTCCTTCCTGTCACAATTTGCCTAGAAAACGTCTCTTCATGCTTCAAAACTCAGCTCAGATGAAGCCTTCCCAGACTTGCTCAGAGAATCATTTCCTAAGACCTATGTATTTACCTCCAGCCAAAGGAGACCTCAGACATGTCAATGGAAGCTCCTAGAAATGGTTTTCCTCCATCTCACAACAAATATACTAGAGGTTTTTGTTTTGTTTTGTTTTTTTTCTAGAAGTACTTGCATCTGGTAAGTGGGCAGATTCATGCCAGAAACTCTAGTTGGGAGATGTGGATAAAAGAATGTCAGAAGAACCTTCTTGCATGTGACCAAATCCTTGCTTTGGACAGGGAATTCATCTTCAGCTGTGTGTTCCCAGTGGGCATTGTGAGGATGTAGAAAACCGTCCCTCCACTGGAGAGCATGCTGTATTATTTCCTGCTTTATGAAACCCTAGCCGTTGACATTAAAGAAACTGTATATCGTTGAATGCTGTCTATTGGCTAATTTTTGTCAATCACTACACAATTCCACTGTGGAACCACCAACCTCCCCAGTCACCCCTGTCACTTTATAATGGAATTATCTGTCCGCCTGTCTGCATTTTCCATCACTTTGACCTTGGTGGGACCAAACATGACAATGTGGTCACACCTCCTGGTGTCACTCTAGAATAAACAAAAGAAGGTGTATGTTGAGAGGGAGGGGAATGCCAGAACATTCCTTATCACTTTGTCAAGGCCCAGCCTGGTGAGGGTCTAAAAGGAAGAAACACGACTGCTGCCTCTTTGTTATCTCTTACCTGAAAATATGTCTAACGGGTAGCTTCTCTGTCCTTCTCTGCTGTGCTGAGACCACACGGCCTTCCCCTATCATTACCACCTGCCCAGTGGTTTCCCTGGAGAGCAGCTCTGCCTTCAGGGCTTAATGCTTCCCACCGGTCCTTACTGGGCAAAGAAAGGGCAGCTGAGCCAGGCCTTATCTCTTAATTACACAGAGCAGGCTGATAATCAGAGAATAATTGGATTGATGGCAATCTGCATTCTGAGCAGGCACTAAATGCACCCAATGAACCATGAACGCTTCTGGTTGTTTTAACTCTGCCTGTGGTAATCTGTAGCTTTATGCATATAATCAAGAAAAATAATAAATGCACCCAAGCCCATCAACCAACATTAATAGCCACTAGAATTTTCAAACCCAGCACATTTCATTCAGAGTTTAAATGGCAAACACCTGGTACAGTTGAAAAACAAAGAACCAAATTGTGCATGCCCCAGCTCGGGACCTTTGAATTATGCTGTTTGTTAAGTATACTCTGTATGCATAGAATTAATCCAATTTTGCTCCATGAAAAAGAAAGCACTTCCCTTAATGATGCAATATTAGTATGAACCAATTCAGTCCTTAGCCCATCTTCTATTGTAAGCAGCCACACTAGAAGATGTCTCCTGCGGACCCCTTGGAAAGTCTTTGCAAAAGCACAGGGAAAAAAAAGAAATTAAAACATTAGCTAAAAGGAAGCACCAACTTGTATCCTCTTGTGTTGAAATTAGCTTCTGATCATAAACAGTTATTTTTCCTTTTGTGGCACGGGTCCAGGTCTGGCTTCACCGTTATGTACAGCCACCTGATCCAGGCTGCTGGAAAAATCAAGGCAAAAAGGGGCATTTATCTATGACTCAGGGAAGAGATTTACATTTAGATGACATTCTTGGTATATCTAATAACTCAGTTCAGCAATCAAAGACACGCAACAGAAACAACAGTTTTGCTGGGCCCGACAGCATTCCAGCCCAGAGAGTCCCATGCACAGTCTCTCTGGTTGCTCCTGTCTCTGCCTCCATGAAAGTGCAAAATCAGCAGGTTCCAGCTCCGGTGAAGCATGAGCCAGGTTAAGAGAAGACTAAACGCTGTTGACAGGTTTGCTTCCCTTTACAAATTCTGAGTCTCGCTTGCATGTGTTTGAGGAGGGCGGAAGAAGTCAAGGGAGAACATTTTTGCTGGGAGAGGAGTTTCACTTCCATTCCCCTTGCTTTGCTCAGTGTGGACTTCTAGAAGTTTTGCAAGGGTGACTGTGATTTGGATATTAGCCTCAACTTCACGGTAGGCCAGGGGGCCTTGTGTGACTCTTAAGATTTCATTTATGTCTGATTCCAAAGAAGAGACAAGCTAAGAAGGCACGAGCAGGCATTCTTCTGCTTTCAATGACCTTCTAGTGGCTTCCATTACTTACAGAATAAAATCCCAAGCTCTTTGGCAAGGCTTTTCATAAGCCTGCCCTTACAGCCTTACCCCCAGTGTCTAGTTCGGTACTCGGCACTGCCAGGAAAGGGGGTGCCTATGAATCAGAGGGTGATTGAGAAGGAAGCAAGCCCTCAGTATCAATGAAGCTGCTTTACTGTCTCCAGAAACGCAACAGCAGCCCCATCCCAGGTCTATGGCATTCAGTGCTCCTGGTTTGACTCTGGCCCCTGCTGGATGCCTTACTGTCCACTCCCAGGGCCACCTCTAGGTCACAGACAAAAACTGTCCCTGCCCACCCCTGCTTTCACTTCTCCTCCCACATCCTGATGTCAAATCCTCCCAGTAACTAGCTTCTCTGGCTTTGTCTTGTTTTACTGGTTTTTGTCCCCTCTAGTACATTAGCGGCAGCAATGAGGTCTGAACAAAATAGCATCTTCTATGAAGTTCTGACACTTATTCCACAAATATTTTTATAGCCAGGCACAATGGTAGGCAGAGGGAGAACAGGGCAGAGTCATGGAAGTGAGAAAAAACATGGCCCTCGGGAGACAGCAGGTTGCTCAGTACATCCAGGTGTAGAATGCATGGGCAACAAAGTGAGGTTATTAGAAGTCCAGGCCCTGGATCCTTTGTCTGAAGCCTCTCTAGCCTCAGTTAAAGTTGTTGGGAGGATCCAACAGGTGATCATCTAACGAGACGATCCCCTTAATACATCTAACACTTGGTGCATGCTTAATATATGTCAGCTCTTGTTATTTTCATGATTGCTATCATTCTTCTATAATTTTATTTTTTGTTGTTATTGAGGATATACACAACAGCACATACACCAATTCAACAATTTCTACATGTACAATTCAGCGACACTGATTACATTCTTTAAGTTGTGCAACTATTCTCACCCTCCTTTTCTGAATTCTTCCTCCCCCATTAACATAAACTCACTGCCCCCTAAGGTTCCCATCTCATCTTTCGAGTTGCTGTTGTCAGTTTGATCCCATATAGATAGTTCTTAAAAGAGCATAATGTTCAAGGCAGACTTTCTTTTCTAATTAAGATAAACTATTGTTTGGTTTAAAGAAGACTTCAGGAGGTATTTTTGGTTTAAGATTTAAAGATTATCTCAGGGCAATTGTTCTGAAGGTTCATCCAGCCCCCATGGCTCCAGAAATTCTGGATTCCATGAGAATTTGAAATTCCGTTCTGTATTTTCTCCCTTTTGATCAGGATTCTTCTATAGAATATTTGCTCAAAATGTTAAGTAATGGTAGCTGTGCACCATTCTGTTCTTCTGGTCTTATGGCAAAAGGGGCAGCTGATCATTTTGAAGGGGATCCAAGAGTTAGGCAAGGGCTAGAAAATACAGGGGTCATGTACATATTCAGAGTCCCTGGGTGGTGCAAATGGTTGATGTACTAGGCCACTAACCAAAAGGTTAGGCTAGACGTTCAAATCCACCCGGAGACATCTTGGAAGAAAGGCCTGGTGATCTACTTCTGAAAAAATCAGCCATTGAAAACTCTGTGGAGCACAGTTCTACTCTGATACACATGGCATCACCAGGAGTTGGAATTGACTCAACGGTAACTGGTGGATATACATGAAAGTTAGGGCTGTGTTGTATGAAAGGAGAGAAGGTTAGCACTCCCCTTGACAAAGATGGAAGAGGCCCTCAGGCCTTACAACCGCGTATGGTTAAGGCATTGCTACCTACTGTGTAGCATCGAACAATGGTTTTTCAATGTCATAAAAGTAGAAATCAATAACAGGAAGATCAAGGGAAAAAAATCAAATATACACTGAATATTTGTATAAAACTGAATAACACCTGCTTAAAAACAACTGAGTAACAGAAGAAATCAAAGAAGGAATAAAAAAGAATTCTAGAGTCAAATGAGAATGAAAATACATCACACCAAAACCTTTGGAACACAGGAAAGGCAGTGCTCAGAGGTCAATTTATACCAATAAATATACACATCAAAAAGAAGAATGGGACAAAATAAAAATGTTAGCCCTACAACTGGAACAAATAAAAACAGAACAGCAAAAGAAGCCCACAGGCACCAAGGGACATTACAACAGACCCAGCTGAATAAGAAGGATCATAACAGAATACTATGAAAAATGTACTCCAACAAATTTGAGAACCGAGCTGAAATGGACAAATTTCTAGAAACATACTACCTACCTAAACTAAGACAAACTGAGATAGAAAATCTGAACAGAGCCATAACAAGAGAAGAGATTGAAGAGGTAATTAAAAAAAAAAAATTCCAACAACAAAAAAAAGCCCTGGCCTTGATGGCTTCTCTGAAGAATTCTACCAAACATTCAGAGAAGAGCTCACACCTGTGAGCTCAAACTATTTCAGGGCATAGAAAAAGAAGAAATACTCTCGAATTCATTCTATAAAGCCAGAATAACCCTGATACAAAAGCCAGGCAAAGACACCACAAAAAAAGAAAATTACAGAACAAAATCTCTCATGAATATAGATGCAAAAGTTCTCAAAAAATTCTAGCCAATAGAATTCAGCATCATATAAAAAAAGTAATAATAGTACACCACAATCAAGTGGGATTCATACTAGGTATGCAAGGATGATTTGACATTAGAAAATCAATCAATGTAATCCACCACATAAATAAAACAGAAGAAAAGAATCACATGATCATCTCAATAGACATATAAAATGCATTTGATAAAGTCCAACACTCATTCCTGATAAAAACTCTCAATAAAATAAGAATAGAAGGGAGATTCTTCTACACAATAAAGGACATCTGCACAAAACCAATAGCCAACATCGTTCTCAATGGAGATAGGCTGAAAGCATTTCCCCTGAAAACGGGAACAAGACAAGGATGCTCTTTATCACCACTCCTATTTAACATTGTGCTGGAAGTCCTAGCTAGAGAAATAAGGCAAGAAAATGAAATAAAGGGCATCCAAATTGGAAAGGAAGAAGTAAAACTATTCCTGTTTGCAGATGATATGATCCTATACATAGAGAACCCCTAAGATTCCACAGGAAAACTACTGGAACTAATAGAAAGATTCAGCAGAGTAGCAGAAGGCAAGATCAACATACAAAAGTCAGTTGGATTCTTATACACCAACAAAGAAAACTTGAAAAAGAAAATCACGAAAACAATACCATTTATAATAGCCCCTAAAAAGATAAAAGACTTAGGAATAGATCTAACCAGGGACACAAAAGACCTACACAAAGAAAACTAAAAAACACTATTGCAAGAAACCAAAAGAGACTTACATAAATGGAAAAATATACCATGCTCATGGATAAGAGGACTCAATGTTGTGAAAATGTGAATTTTACCCAAAACAATTTACAGATATAATGCAATCCTGCTCCAAATACTAACAGCATTCTTTAACGAGATGGAAAAACTAATCACCAACCTTATACGGAAGGGAAAGAGGCCCCAGATAAGCAAAGCATTATTGAAGAAAAAGAACAAAACAGGATGCCTCACACTACCTGATCTCAGAACCTCCTATATAGCCACAGTAGTCAAAACAGCTTGATACTGGTACAACAACAGACACATAGACCAATGGAACAGAATTGAGAACCCAGACATAAATCCATCCACCTATGGTCAGCTGATCTTTGACAAGGGCTCAAAGTCCATTTAATGGGGAATAGACAGTCTTTTCAACAAATGGTGCTGGCAAACCTGTAAAAGAAATGAAATGAAAAAACAGGACCCGTACCACACACGATACAAAAACTAACTCAAGGTGGATCATAAAACCTAAAATGATAAAGATCATAGAGGAAAAAAACAGGGACAACACTAGTGACACAAATACATGGCATAAATTCAATACAAACCATAACTAACAATGCACAAACACCAGAAGATAAGCTTGATAAACTGGCAGCTCCTAAAAATTAAACACTTAATGCTTATCAAAGAAAACTTCACTTAAAGAGTAAAAAGAGAACTTACAGACTGAGAAAAAAATTTTGGCTACAATATATCTGACAAGGTTCTAATCTCTAAAATCTATATAATATCTCAACACCTCAATAACAAAAAGGCAAATAATCCAATTAAAAAACAGGCAAAGGATATGAACAGATACTTCACCAAAGAAGACATTCAGGCAGCTAACAAACACATGAGGAAATGTTCACCATCATTTGCCACTAGAGAAATGCAAATCAAAACTACAATGAGATACTGTCTCACCCCGACATAACTGGCACTAATCAAAAGCACAGAAAATAATAAATGTTGGAGAGGCTACAGGGAGACTGGAACTCTTATGAACTGCTAGTGGAAATGTAAAGTGGTACAACCAGTATGGAAAATTATATGGCACCTCCTTAAAAGCCTAAAAATAGAAATACAATACGATCCAGCAATCCCACTACTAGGAATCTATCCTAGAGAAATAAGGGCCATCACATGAATAGATATATGCACACCCATGTTCATTGCAGCATTATTCACAATAGCAAAACAATGGAAACAACCTAAGTGCCCATCAACAGAAGAATGGATAAACAAATTATGGTACATATACAAAATGGAATATCATGCAACAATAAAGAACAATGATGAATCTGTGAAACATCTCACAACATGGATGAATCTGGAGGGCATTATGCTGAGTGAAATAAGTCAATCATAAAAGGACAAATATTGTATTAGACCTCTATTATAAAAACCCAAGAAAAGGTTTACACGTAGAAAAAAATAATCTTTGATGGTTACGAGGGAGGGAAGTGCTGGTGAGGGGAAATCACTAATTAGATAGTAGACAAGTGTTACCTTTGGTAAAGGGAAAGACAACACATGATATAGGGGAAGTCAGCACAACTTGACCAAGGCAAAGCCATAGCAGCTTTCTAGGTACATCCAAACACCTTGAGGGATGGAGTTACTGGGGCTAAGGGCTGGGAACCATGGTCTTGAGGGACATCTAGGTCAAATGGCATAACATAGTTAATAAAGATTGTCTTAGGCTGGGTTCTCTAAAGAAGCAAAACCAGTAAAGTGTATAAATATATATATAGACAGAGATTATATCAAGGAAACAGCTCACACGATTGTAGAGACTAGAACGTCCCAAGTCCGTGGATCAGGGTAGAGGCCTCTCCTAAGTCACACAGCTGCAGAAGCTGGCAAGCCCAAGATTGGCAGGTCAGAGAGCAGGGCTCC